GTCAGCTGGGTAGACGGAGTTTTCTGGGTGGGCTCTGTCCAAATAGTCGATGATGGCCAGCGATTCAAAGAGGGTGTGCGTGGATTTCCGGGTGCCGCCGCCGCCGTCCGTAGATGACGTGATGGTTTCCACAATCAGAGCGGGAACGGTTTCCGCCGGGTTCACCGCCTTGAAGGCCGCCGAGTGCTGCTCGCCGCTGTACAGCGAAATTGGCCGGTACTCGTACTTTAGGCGCTTGTGTTCGAGCATTGAACGGACTCGCCAGGAGCAGGAGCTTCGAGCGGCGCCGTAGAGGATGTAAGTTGGGGTGGTGTTACTGGTAGAAGTCATGGTAAATATTTTTCAAGGGAAAATTTGATGAAAACTGCTTTTATACAACAAAAACATTGAAGTGAAAAAAAATCAGCAGTTGATCTAGTTGCGCTAAATGACGAATAAAAAACAAAATACAGTGAAGTGAAATGTGTGTCAGTGATGTCTTTGTATGGTGACAGTCGCAGCAGCAGCTGCGGCATGATGAATGAAGATAATAAATAAGGGATATCATTTTAGTGGTGGTGGTGATATGGCGTGAAATGAGGACGCAACAACTGTTGATGATGATGATGACAGAAAATGAAAGAAGATGTAAACTAGCATTTTTATCACTGATACTTTTTTCGATAGTGAAAAAATGCATGTGAGCTGATTTAGCAAGCAATTAGCGATGTTCAACACTGAAATGGAAAAAGAATAGTTTAAGTTTAAATAACAAAACATGTAGTGCCACCTGCATCAACACATCACAGTCAGCATGCACAATGGGCAAGAATCAATTGAGAAAGGCAAGACCGGTTTGGCCAATGCACTAGGACCCTAGGGACAAATGAGTTGTTGTGGGGAGAGAGTTTAGAGTGACCACAGTCAGTCGGCTTGCTCAGTGGTGTTTGTTTTGATTTGAGCCGTTCATATTGTCCACTTTGTTTTCAGCTGCTGAATCTCACTTTAGTTCTTTCCATTTGATTTGTTGTTTGTTTAACCAGTTACTGAGGAAAATGTCTGACACCGAGCAGCTGTTTGGATCTGACGAGGACATGTACGACGTGTTTGATTGTGGAAATAATGATGAAGAAGAAAATGAAGAAAAGAATGCCGTAATAGTGGTAAAGGAAGAAGATAATTTGGAGAATGAGAACGATGTTTTGGAAAGTGTTGATCAATCAGCAGGCAATGGTAAGCGGTGGGCAATTGATATGATTACCTTTATTTATTGACTTTTTTTAAATCAACAGAATCAAAAATCAAAACTAAAGAACAGGATGAAACGTCAATTGATATGTACGACGATGAGTTTCATTTGATTATGGAAAATGATTTTGCCGCTACTGTTGAAAATGTCAATAAAATGAATGAGGCATTGAATGTGAATGAAAAATCGGAACTGGACTCTAATGCCACTGAAATTGATGATGAGAATTATGAAGCAGTCAGTGGTGAGTGGGCAGTGTGTGTTTATTTATTCTTTTGTGTAACACTTTTATTTTTGCAGAACCTCAGCCAACTAAAGCAGTGGTCAATGACAACTCGAGCAGTTTATCAGGGGAGCAACAAACAAACCTTCGACAAAGAACAGTAAAAAAGCACATATGTCAGCAGTGCAACAAAAGCTTTGATCGTCCATCTAAACTCAAAGTACACCAACTGGTTCACACTGGCGTTCGACCGCACAAATGCACAATTTGCTCCAAATCATTCATACAACTTGGTCATCTTCAAACACACCAACTGATTCACACTGGCGTTCAATCGCACAAATGCACAATTTGCTCAAAATCATTCAAAACCAAAGGAGAGCTCAAACGACACCAACTGGTACACACTGGCGTTCGACCGTACAAATGCACAACATGCTCCAAATCATTCACACGAATTGATATTCTCAAAACGCACCAAAAAGTTCACAGCAATTCTAGACCATTTCAATGCACAATTTGTCAGCAAACATTCAAACACAAACAAGCCATCAAAAAACATCTTCAAGCTAAACATCCACAGTAAAGCTATTTTACCTGCCTCCTTTATAACATAAACATTTGCTGTTTAAACCATTTTTCTCCTTTTCCTTCCACTGAACAATATTTGTAATCTATTTAGCAACTTTGAAAATAAAATCATTTTTAAAAAAACATTTTTTATTTTTACAATGGTATTTGCAAACACTACCGACACCTGTTGCAGGTGAATAGAAGTGAATCAGCTGTTTAAAAAACTGTAAAGTGAAAAAGACAGACAGTTTCTCAAAACCATCGATACCTAGACAACTGCAAAACAATCGAGAAAGGCCGGACCGGCACATGCACTTGGGCCTTAGGGACACGTGAGCTGCAGTGGAAAGTGAAAGAGAGAAGGAACACAGGCAGTTGGCTTGCTCAGT